TTAATAATACTTTTGCCTTTCAATGTTTGCCATTTCAAACCATGAGCATGGTTTAAATAATATTTGCCTTGATTTACAATATGTTAACCTTCATTATAGTCCTTGACAGCGGTCTGTACTGCTGTATTAACAACGTGTCACATGTTAAGAATTTACAATCAGAATGGAGTATTCAACTAAGCCCTGTAATACAAGTTGTTAGTAGCCTTAAGGGCCTACACAGTTGTTATGCTATACCACATTGCCCTTCACTGGATGTATAATGAGCTGCACTAAACTACATTTTAGCATTTAAAATACCTAGCTATTCTTTTGCGGTTATTTTGGTGAAAGTAACTAAAAAGTAACTAAAGTAGTGTAACTCATTACATTTCAGAGACAGTAATATTGTAATGTAACTTATTACTTTCAAAAGAGAGTAATAAGTAATATGTAATATATTACATTTTGGAAGTAACTTGCCCAACACTGCTCTTAATATGACCTGATGTCATCTATTCCTAAGACTCAATAATTGTTGGTCCTCTTTGCAGCGTTCATGGTCTTGTTATTTGACCTAAAGGCACTGGTCGACTTGAGTTCAATTGGGACCATCTTTGCCTACACTCTTGTTGCGGTGTGTATTCTGATATTAAGGTATGTACGCTTCGAATGACTGGATGTAGTTTGTTCAGTGAAAAGCCAATATTTTGATATTCAAAACTTTTTCAGACAAGAATGAACATATACCATAGCATGTATAAGCTTGTTGTTTCTTTCTCCCAGGTACAAGGAGGACCCTGGTTTCAGCCATAGACGGGAACCGTTTACTGTCATGGGACTGTTTATTCCTCCTTCTCGAGCCACCCCCCGTACCTCTAAAAATGTCAACGTAATCACCATCATTATTTGTAAGTAATCCCCCATCTGAAATGTGGACGCTGAACAAAATTCCAAGTATTTTCTGACTGCTCATATTCCTCTCTAGTGTTCCTGGTGATGGTTTTAAGCTTGCTGCTGTCCGAGGGTGCGTTTTCCCTCCGCAACAGAGAGCTGTGGAGCGTGCTGATCGTGTCTTTCCTCTCGCTGATGCTGGTCCTCGCTGTGGCAATCATCTGGAGGCAGCCACAGAGCATTTCTAAAGCCTCTTTCATGGTAAAGTGCACGGGTGATGGTGGTGGGCTAGATTTCATGCACCTTGAAGAGTTGCCCCTTTTACAGTTTCAATGAAGATGTCATGTGAGTCAGATGGTGGGCCTTACTGAAGGTCTGTTGCAGGGCACACAAGGTTTATGGAAAATATGTTATACAAACAATCAAAAGACCACCCAACTTAAACCCAAACTAAATGACCAGTGATAGAAAAACTACAATTGTCTGCAAGAACTTCCCTTCAAAAAAACGTTAGATATTTGAGATATTTAGAGTTTTGTCACATACAATGTCTTTTTTTAAAGAAAGGTCCCAGGTCATGGCCATTTCTACTGATCATAATTCCATTGTTGAGGTCTACTAGAATAGATTTACATTGTTCAATTTTCCAAAATCACATTGGTTTCTCAGACAGCATCTCTGTATAGTATGTATTTACTCTCTGTCCTACACCCCTTGTTGGAGCTCCTGCCCCCCCTCCCTATGAACCCACTGTGCTCTGATTGGTCAGCTCGCCCACTCTGTTCTGATTAGTCTACCACCGTTACAGCGGAACATTAGTGATTATGTGTTACAATGGTGTTTGTTAGCAACCAGAAAATGACACCAGTAATGACAAACAGATGAGAATGCTGCGTGGGGTCTGGGTGCCGTGTTGGCGGGACGTTGCGGGGCTCGCTGCTCCGCCCTTTGAGGCTCGAAGAGCGGACAGTGTGAGCTTGATTACTGGTGGCGTTTCCTGGTTGCTGCGTGGGGTCTGCAAGACAGCGAGACACCGCAGAGCTCAGCCTGAGCACACACACACACTAGCTCAGGCTGTGAAAAAAAAGGAAAAAGAGAAATCTCCAACGAGGCGTTCTGGGGCAGCATAGACACATATTTTCTGTTAGTTTTACTCGCTACAGGGTGTACTTTGAGGGTTTGTGACTCTGCAGACCGTTTACATGCAGAAAAACCTTCATAACACACAAGGGGATGGGTAATAACCAGAAAAGCATATGATGGGACCTTTTTAAAGAAAGTTCAATTGATGTTAATTAATGAACATTGGAGGTGCTGGAAGGCAGATTGTTACATTTGGGGGGAGTTGTTTCCTCCCTTGTTTCTGGGCTGCGCTTGAATTGTCAGAGCAATTGGGTCCTATGTCTTTACCTAACCACTTTAATATTAACCTCTGTAAGAAAGGTCACGGGTTCTGGAAAGATGTGAAGGAAAATTCAAAAGGACTTTGGAAAAGACAACTGCAGTGCTAAGGAGTCTTGCACTGGACATACAGTATTTATGATGTGATGCCATACGGTTTTTGATGTGTGTCTGCAATGGGAAAACTGCAATTTTCCAGACATAAGTCTTCTAAAAAGCATCCAGATACTTTGCCCTGTGCCTTCTTGTTGTGTGATTTACAATCGTGGTCAATAAGTTGTAAAACGCGAACAGCTGAATGTTGTTTCCATTAAGGATGGTCAAGAGTATTCTAAGCAGTGGCGAACCGTCAGGGCCTTCAAGGTATTCATAGAATAGCCTGGAGCACTCGGATAAAACAAACAAAAAATCGATTTAATTATATAAATAAAATGTATATTAAATGAGAATCGTATCTGTGTTGTTGATCTGTAATATTACAGTGTTACGTTGATCTGTTTGCCCTTCTCGGACCATGCACTACGCATTTCAGTGGTTTTGTGTTAGAAAAAGAAAGCAACCAATCAGATCTTGTTCTGGGTGTCTGGGTAGAACATCCTTCAACCAAGGTATTCTACATCCTTGATAGAATGCCCTGGCCGTTGCACTGAATGAGAGCGTACGTTTGGACTGACAGTTTGATCAACCAATCATATATTGATTTGTAGCCAATGGGTGTATTCTTTCAGAGTTTCCCTCTGTTCCAGGGTGCTAGAATGCCCGCTAGTTAACTGGCTCGAGACAGAGGATCTAGATGAATGCGACGAAGCAATTCATGCCGTTTTATTGTTTTTAACAATGAAATGGCAAGTGCAACAGGTGAAGATGACGTTATTGCAGAATTGTTGTGAGGACCTTTTTCAAGACGACAATTCAGTGAAAAGGTGTGTGTGTATGTGTGTGTGTATATTTCCATCCAGAGAACAGCTCTTATGAATGCCACGTGGGTACTTCCAGGTCATTTCAGGAACCTTGATGAGCAAATTCAACAATTTAACCCCAACAAACGAATAGTTCAGAAACAACTTCCACTCACTTTCCTGTCCACTCGTAATAATGGACATGAATCACAAATAGGATGATTGTATGAAACTATTTTATGAATTTGTTATTATTACACTTTAAATACATCATTTCACTCAGTTAGGAACCTCCCTAAGCAAACAAGACTATTCTATCACAGCCCTTGTCTTTGTGCTAGGCTAAGCTAACCTGCTGCAACCTCTGCTGCATAAAGCTAACGGCCCGTCCACACACAGGCATGAAAAAAATCTTGAAAAATCTTGATGCTGGGCGTGTCTGAAGCTTGCCGATTTTTTGCGACCAACAACCAATCACATTAATCTCCCGCCCCCAACATACAAAGCAATAGCAATGTTAAAACTAAGTAAACTGGATATAAACTCCCCAAACAGGCGAAAACCTACCAGTTTCACCCACTGTCTCTGCCACCTCCCTCCATACCTGGTTCCTCCGGTTTGTATCCCGGTAAATAGTTCTGGTCGTAAAGAACCGGGTGATTTGCTACCGTAATTTCTCATTTGGAATATGAGGAAATGAACTGCGGTCTGGCTCTCCCAGCTTGCACGCGGTTTGATTGGCTAGCGCTTGTACTGGCGGGATTTGCATAAACAGGATTTGATTGGCTGATGCCAGCTTCGCAAGCATTGGGAGCATCAAAAGTTTCGGCAGTTCGGCGAAGATTAAAAATCTTCTACGTCACCCCATTCAAGTGAATGGGCGATGCTTTGAAAGATTTTTTTCATGCCTGTGTGTGGACGGGCCGTAACTCATGTCAAAGCATCATTTCAAACTATTGCTTGAACATCATAAGTCATAAGTTGTCCTCTTTTTATAGGTTCCCGGTCTACCTGTTGTTCCAGTTTTAAGTGTCCTCATCAATACCTACTTGATGGTTCAGTTGGGAGGGGAAACCTGGATCAGCTATGCAGTCTGGATGGTAATAGGTAAGCACTTCCTAGTTTCATAAGCTTGATGTTTAATGTTTTTATTCTATGCATCATTTGTAGATGGTCGAAAAATCTCAAGCACAGCTGTCATTGAATAAACATTAAAAGGCCTTCACAACTCTTTCCTCAGGACTCATCATCTATTTTGGTTACGGGGTTCGCCATAGTGTCCAAAAACAAAGGCTTTATCAGGCTCGCACCCGACTCAATATTGTTCATGTAAACAATGTTGCTGCTTGAAGTCCTGTATTGTATTGAATTGTGTAATGTGTCACTCTCGACTGACATGTAAAAGGTTCTACAGAGTACATACAGTTAAACTCATCAACGAATAACCTTGAAATAATTTTACGGATTTTAATCAGGTTTCAGCCAGGATTGGATTGACCTTCTTTTGATGCATCGGTTTTATATGTTCAATTGCTTTGTTAAAAGTATATTAAGGTTATTATAACCTGTTTTTATGTGTTGTCATATTATGGCTCATCAGTCCTTCAAGACTAGGTACTCTTGGATATATATGTTGTTTATAAAAATGAAATGTTGATCTGTATTAAGGTCATTTAAATCTTTAAGAATTAATGTTAATAAATTTGCAGAAAAATAAATACATTGTAATTAAGTGGATGAGAATAGAAGTGTCTTTGTCTTTGAAGTGCTAGTATAAAACCTGCTGCTTTAAGGACCACTCATACAAATGTCTTCAAACTCCACACTGCACTTCCAATACACCTGCCATGATGTAGTCTCATCACACACCCATGTGAGATACACAGGTGAAAATACACTGCTCCAAAAAATGAATGGAACACTCAATTATCACAGTAAAACACCCAGTCAATTAAACTTCGCAACCATTCCAGTTAGGAAGAATAACTGAATGTGATTCAAGTACATTCTGTTTTAATGCAAATGAAAAAGCAGGTGGACAGAAGAGGCAACAGCAAGACGACTCAAAAGGCAATGATAGGTGTTGGCAATCTCCCCTGAGTCTGTAGACGCTGTGGCGAACATTATGATACCTGCACAATTATTTGGCTCTAACATTAACACAAAAACCATTAATCAGCAACAGATTTGACTTTAAGCCCTTTTAAAGTTTAAATAATGTCTCGTACAACTGGTTAACATGAATAACTGCAGTGAATAAAAAAATAAATATATGGTTGTCGATTTGTGGGTGTACTATTTGATTAACATAATCTAGGGTTACCCGTTTTCCTAACCCTAACCATTTCCTATGCTGGCCATTTTGGACCGGCAACACCATAGGTGTAACAAAGTTGACAAGATCTGAGGGTTAGGGTTAACCATCACGTATCCTTAATTACATTTGTTCACACTGCCTTAATATTCTATTCTCTGTTTTTTGTTTAGTTTTTCTCCATTCATCCCATCCCTCAGCTACCCTTCACTCACAGCTCTGATTGATGTGATTGCATTGCTTCTGTCGTTAATGGTGCCTATACAGAGTGGCTAATTTATGTAGCCAATCTAGTGTTCATTTGTTAAGCATCACTCATCATTTGTGGAGCCTGCAGGACACGCTGCTGCCAGTCTCCGAGGGCCTGACATATGTTGTTTTGTTGTTTTGATTGCAATTAGAGGATGTGTCTGTGTATTAAAGAAGCAGTGGAACGTGACAACTACAATATGGTGCACCTTTGAGCTACTGTAGGGAGAGAACAACTGAGGGATTAGATGGGGGGGGACTTTTCAGACATTTTAAAGATTCACATTTATTTTAATACATTTAATTTAATCTTTTAAAACTTTTTTTTATTTCTGATGTTTATGGGCTGCTTGGTTTTAGCAACAATTCCTGTAAATATATAAATGTCAATCATGTTTACATGTCTCAATCGCATTATTTAGGTTTTTTGTTACCTCTCACCCTGTTACATTTTGAAAAGATTACTTACTTGCATACAGCGTACTTTACGACGCTGACGCATTCAGATGACAGCTCTATGTAGCGCTAAAAGCTAGCAAGGAATTAAACTAACTAGCTGTTGTCACCACAAGGCTCTGCACCCAACCTTGCTGTGGGAAAATTGCGTATCATGCAATGCAGCTCAAGAGTGGACCGCCATGCTAGCATCTTTGTAAGGCTTTACTAAGGCACAGTGTTGGTTAGAGCTGAATGCTAAAGATAACATGCTCACAATGGCAATGTTTATGTGCTAATGATACATACGTTTATCGTGCTCAGATTTCTAGGTTAGTGTTGTGATGCTAACATTGGCTAATCAGCACAATAGAGACTGCCAGGGCTGATGGGACTTTTTTTTTCAGATGTATGATACATAGTGGCACATTATGTGCAATATAATGGACATTGACTCTTACCAAGATCAACTCATTCTTTATGGTGTATATTCTGACTTCCCCGTAGCTTCAGTACACAGAAACACATATAAACTACACACTGACTAACCTGCAGTATCTTGTCTGTAGTTCCCAGCAGTTGGTCTGTTGTCCTACACTTTTTATTTAAATCACGTGATACTCCTTTCATTCTGAGCGCCAAACCTGAGCAGCTGCCACCACTAGGGACACACACTTGCGCAGACTCGCCTTATTAGCTGCTCCAGATTGGCCATCCTGAGGCCCAGATGCCTGTGACCTCCCTGCGCCCCCTAAATGCAGAGTTATTGTGATTAAAGCATGATTGGCAGCGCTGGTTATTAATTCTAATCTTGGGCACATATGCGGGGTGGTGGGCAGAGGGCAGGCAGCGGTGTGTGCCAGGCCGACGCCACACAGAGGCTAATTCACTCTGACACGCTATCAGAGCGCGGCCACACACACGCCACATTCCCCCGACACGCAGACACTGCCTATAGGCTACACACACTTTTCCTCTAATGCACAGGAGAGGGGAGGTGGTGAGAGAAGGTTATCCTTTAACAAGACACACACACACACACAAAGATTTCAAAAGCACTCCAACACAAAAGTGGCTTTTCCTGAAAACCATTAAGGTACCTTCAAGTACATAATTTAAAAGTGGCAGTGTGTGTTAAGCAAATCACTTTTATCTCAAGAACTGTATAAAGGTCTTACATTTACCACTACTTAGAGGCAGAAACGTGACGGCTTACTTTGAAAATATATTTTCCTATCTCAAGGTAAAAACCTGGAAGCAAATGTTGGATCCTCCGTTTGAAAGTCTCTTCTCACGTCAGGGTGTCGGATTAGCAACAGGAGTCCAACATTCAAGAAGGATTTGACTGAACTTCTATTATAGAGCTAGATGGAGCTAGATGAAACGGAAGAGAGTCATGTAAAGAGGCCTTATTATGCCTTTTAGATTGTTCTCTTTCCTGTAGTGTGTTATATAGTTGTTGTGCATGTAAATGGTCTGCAAAGGATAATCCCTGCCTCAATTGGACTCCTTTGTTTACTTCTGGAACAATGTGAAATTGCTATGTCACACTCCCGCTTCTATTGGCTAGTGCTCCAACACGTTGAACCTGATAGGCTAAGGGTTATTATTATAGAAATTTGTATTCATTGGGATAAACCCCTTGAGATGCACCATCTTGTTTTCAAGGGGGTCCCGACAATAGCAACAATTTACAGACATACATAAACAAAAAGACAAAATGCAAAACATGACACACAAGACAAACCACATACAGTCTGTAAAGTGAAATTCAAGCAATGCACACAATCATTACAATTTGAGACAATCGAGCAAATCAGTTTCATCAATATCAGTTAATAACAAGTACAGACCAGTTGAAAGTTAGATAACAATGCATGTTTAAATATACCCAATGTTGCAAGAGATCTAAGGTAAAGTATTCCAGTCTGTTGGGGCTTTGAACATGAACGCTCTTCTGCCAATCAATGTTTTAGCAGAGGGGACAGAGAAATAAATCTGAACAGAATTTCTAACTTGATGATTTGGTGAGTAGTGTACAAAATACTGCTTTAAATAAGGGGGATAGTTAAGATAAATGCATTTAAATATCAGCTGAAGCCAATGCATGTGTCTTCTTACATTTAAAGAAGGCCATTTAAGTTGGTTATACATTGTGCAGTGATGTGTACGAAAAGGACAACCAAGAACAAATCTGCATAGTCTGTTGTAGGCTATGTTGAGTGGAGCAAGATCTGATTTATGTGCATTTTGGTAGACAACATCACAATAC